AATGCGTGGCTGACGTAGTTTTAGATTCAACGCAACTGTTCTTGTATTCGCTGTCTCGAAAAGTTTCGTTTTTGATGTTGATGCAACTTTCTAAGGCCTTGAAACGCGTTTCTGGATTCGACAAGTATTTTTTCAAGTTTCCGCCTGGCGTTGACGTGTTAACATTGTGAGGGAGGCTGAACCGAGTAGTTTTGAAATCGCTGTCCGAACTTGGGCAGGATTTAAGCACCGTGGGTGAAGAGCAGACATCTTCATCCGAGTATTTATAATTTTTGTGAGGCAACTTCGATTGAATTCCGAACCTGCTGATGGAAAGTGCTCTTTCAAATTTTTCAAGTAAATGGATTCAATGGTGCGAAATGCTGTTGTAAAAGGGATTTGGTGAACAATAAGATGGATCCGAAGCTCTCGATGAACTGATTTTCTTCAACTGCGAGAACAGAGAATTAGAATCTAAAAATTGTACCAACTGGCCATCCCGTATGTAGATTGAAGATGGCTTTCTGTGCCTATCGGAACATTAAAATCGAGTCGTATTTACGATTAACGGATTACTGTACTTCGCTAACCTTTCACAACAGCAGTTGGTTTCATAAGTTGCGAAAAGACCAACGTACAGGATTGTTAATACCTGGTGCCGCGATCGTAAGATTTCCTTCTGTTCTGCGAAACATCTTCATCCGTAGATTCACTTTCAGATTCAGATCCACTGGAATCACTTGCATGAATGGGATCCTGGTGCGACTGATGCCTGCGAGATTGATTCCTGTGTCTGATCTCGAGAAATGGGTTCCTTTGTTTGAAAACCTCTTCACGAGGGCTGTCAATTTTGATTATCTCTAAATGATCGCTGATCCGCACGCGACTGTTTGATCTTCTGTTCATCTCATTATCCTTTCTCGGATGTGAGCTATTCTGGCCGTTCACACCATTCGTGAGGATCCCTTTGTTCCTTGTGGCGTTACGAGTGTAAAGCTCATGCACGTCATTCATGCCGCCTGTGGACAGTCTCTTGATCGTCTGTCCCTGTGCTGGGGGATCATGATCGAGACTTAACGATTGATTGCTTTTTATCTCGTCGAACATTTCTGTGGAAGTGTAGGAATATATCAAGTCATCGCGGCTGGGCTGAAAAGAGGATCCGNCGTGATGGTACGTAAAAGCATCCGGCTGAAGTTTGACATTCGTTTCGGTGAAATCATGCATTGTGTCATCCGCGATGACTTTGAGATTGGTTTGGTAATCGAACGTGTCACGGATCTGTTGAGTTCCGGGAATTTTCGTGAGGGTGTTGATATCTGAAGTATTGACTGCGTCAGTGGTGCTCAATGGTGGCGCTTCATCTTCAAAGCTGACCCTTGTTCTCCGTGGCGTTTGGCGTTCAATTGAGACTTGGCGAATTGATGAAGGCTCTGGTAGGAAAAAAGAACAAAGCAATTGCGGGGGAATTCTCCAGATTAAATTTTCCTTTCACTATATCAGATACGAAATTTGTTCAACATAATGTCGCCGACTTCGTATACTCACACTTGTTAAAAGCCGTATTTAAGAGATGGCAGGCAACGTAATGGATAATGATTAGAAAAGGTTTTTTCTGCTGATTGATTTACAGAATAACTCAAATGAGGGATAATTCATTGGAATCAGCTTACAGTAGCCATATTTGCATATTTCTGCATGTGGACGTTGACCTCACTTTTACCTCCATACTTCTTGAACAATTTTTGCGTCATGTTTCTTATAAATGTTCTGTGCTACCCTACTGCTCCAGTGAGTCATCTACCGTCTACCACATTGCCTCAGGCTTCTGTGTCAGCATCTCAGATGCCTTTAAAGTTAACTATGAATTTGCGGCTACTGAATTTAACGCTAGAAAACGTCAACCTTGCTGTGAATACCAAATTTTGTGCTGTATTTCTGAGATCTATGATGAGGAGTTCCTCTACTCATCTACTGCGAACTTTTTTCAAGATGCATTCCAGCCTTTGTAGCTGCCGTCAAAATTAAAAAAAAACTCGGTTAAATTTTCGTTTGAACGCGTGAAACAAGATTGAAAATTATTGAAGTGAACTTACGATTGAGTCAAGATGCAGTCATCCATCCTCATTGTCTAGTACAGTAATTTTTTTGAGCACGTGGACCTTACTAAAGTATTGTTACAAAAAGAAATTTCTTATAACAAAATCAAAATAACATTGTGACTATTGAGCAGGGGGAAAAAAATTTATTGTCGGTATTAATTCGCTTCAACAAGTTCTATTAGACCATAATTATTCAAGTATACCACGTGCTCTTGAGTAAGATACTCAGCTGATTTTCTCATCCTGAAATTTGTATGAAAGCATTTCCCACAGTAAATAGACACACGCCGATTTTTAATGACAGAAAAGTTGAAAAATTTAGGGGATGCAACGAATCATAATTAAAATTTGCACTTGAATACATTTTAAATTTACCTTTTTAGAAATATCTCTCAAAATTGGTGCACATTTCTGATTGGAATAACTTGTGATGCGCACCTGAACTTTTTAGATTTTGATATAAAAAAAATTTAAATTGTATACCTGCCTATGGCGTATGCTACTGTATTTTAAAATCGACCAAATATTGTTTTTGAGTACTCAGTTTTTTTTTTTTTTTTTAACCTGAAGGCCGTTGATTCCCGCCACTTGGTCTCCATTAAATTGTATACCTGCCTATGGCGTATGCTACTGTATTTTAAAATCGACCAAATATTGTTTTTGAGTACTCAGTTTTTTTTTTTTTTTTAACCTGAAGGCCGTTGATTCCCGCCACTTGGTCTCCCAGCTTTGTCTGACATCCTTGTCGGCGTATCAGAGATTATTCCACTCCCTGGGGAAACAATGCCATTTTCATTTGCCCAAACCAGTTCTGCGTTTCCCAAGTGACTGGATGCTCTTTTCGTCAGATCAGAGGATTGTCTAAAAGATGATCCTTTAACCGTTGTTGACGCCAAGTCTGTAATATGAGTCGGGGTCGGGTCATCTCCGTCCAACATCTCCAAGTTTTCCATTCCCAAATATTGAGAAATCGATCCCTTGCTTCGTTTGCTGTTCACTGAAATATCCACTTGACCAACATTCTCAGACGCCGGGTAATCAGGAGAAGTTTGACTAGTGGGATGAGAAATCGAAGTTACTGTTCTTTGTTGTGAAGACACTTGCTGCTCCTGGTGTTGTTTTTTAGTTGGAGATCTTTGCGGTGTACTCGGAGATGATTCTTCATTCTCTGCTTCTTTATCAGGGAATTTCGTTTTTTCCGAGTCTTCGGCTTGACTGGAATCGGAAATCACTGACAGAACATCAAGTCGCAAAGTTGGGGTGGCCAACACCGTTCCCATTTCATCGGTGCACACGCACGCGAGACTAGTTTCTCGCGGATTTTCTGCAAAAGCTGCATCTTTGGCTTTTATTTCGGTTTCATTTACTGGGGTCTTCCATTTGCTGGATCGTCGAGCTGATGATGAACGTTTCCGCGATGATGACGGTTTTGCGTAATTATCATCGGGTTGGCTGCTGAATTGATTTTTCACCAAGTCTCCTGGCAAAATTTGAGAAGCGTGACCATCGTCTAGTCCGACATTTTCAAGACTGGCTAATGTGCTGCCAAGGTATGATAAGTGTTCTCCAATTTGTGTTTGACCAGTTTCTTCGGCATTGAATGGGGTATTCGAAATATCTGTTAATCTTGGAGGTTCAGTGCTGGTCTTGGTTGATGCCTGGCGAATATCCGAATTTCCAGGAATTATATGAAATACTTTCTGTTCAGTCGATTGTTCTCCAAAAATTAGCAAATACATATAATGCTGTGGATGGTACGTTATGGTATCTGAACAAATACATTTAAATAGGAATGCATTAAAAATATTTCAACCACAAAATCATTCGAAGCTTTCAAGAACGGGAACTTACGTGAATTAAGCCGGATTCTCGCTCCTCGCTGGGGTATTGAATTATTTTCGAAACTTTCGTCACTTGAGCCGGATTTGATATGTTGTCAAGTCTCGCACTTCTGTCGGTGATATTCGAAAATGGCCTCATTGCAATTTGCTCTAGTCGACCGTCAACAGCGATCTGATTGTTGATGCCCTCAAACTTCCGCGTTAATTCGTGCACGATATTTTTCCTGCTGGACTTCCGGCTGCCAGTAATTGGCGTAGAAGACTCTCGTGCAAAAGAAGAAGTGTTTTTCGCACTGATCGGCACTTGTATGAAATGGTGTTGCAGTGGGGTGATGGACTGGTGTTGAGTTTGTCTGTAAGACGACTGCATTGGCTGCGATGTAAGGCTTTGTAAGACATTGTGACAGTTTAGACACGTTGATGCCTGCTGTTGGTCCAAGTGAGTAGGTTCACTAGTTGACGTTTTCTCGTCATCGATAACGCCTCCCTTTTCCAAGTTGTATTGCGAACACAGGGTTTGCAAAATGATGTTCTTGTTTCGGCTGTAGGAATGAAGCGCGGATTCGGGTCCGCAGTAGTTTTTAAAGCGCAACATCGCGACTCTTCTCAGGCCTCTGGATCGCAAGTCGATGGAGTCGTCAAACCAGTAGTACTTTACTGTACTGAGTTCACTGGAAGTTGAGGATTCTGTGGGTGCAGATTGCTGAGTGGCTTCTGATGTACTGGATGGGTCCCCAGCACCGGCTTTTCGTGCAATTCCAGAGGAGTTGATCAATTGCTGGCGGTAGTACCGGTTTTGGTCAGTGTATTCCCAGGTTTCGTCTGTTATTACTGGAATGCTGTGACCTGTGGAAATACAGTTGAATTCTGCTGCAGATGGACTCCCTCCACAGTTGTTTAAGTAATTTTTCTTGGGGGGTCTACAGCGAAATTATGTGTTTTTTTCCTGGCTCCTCAGAATTTCGTTGCAGAAGAGAGACACGTGTTTTTATTAATGCACTCAAGGTTACCAGAAGCAATTTCCTGGAAGATCCGATTTTACAAAATCGTGTTTCACAAACTAATTTTCATCAATAATTATAATATAACACAATTTTAGCCCTGAAAATGTGCATGCGCTGAGGTATACTTTTTTTTTTTTTTGCGCGAAATATGAAAGTTCAGCTACTGCATCGTTGAAAATCCATTTCACCCATTTTTCGAAAAACTGTAATCCTAGATTTTCTAAAACCATCGATTCCATTATAAAATAAATTTAATATATGTCCTTGAGAGCTTTCTGTTGCTAGATTTTACTTCAACCAATTTTGTGTTCTTGAAAACTTTGAAATCAATAAAAATGTAACTTGATGCTTTCGAATAATGAATTGAATGAGTAATTGATATGCTTCCTATTCCAGCAACAGAACTTCAAGTTCCGGAGGATCATCAATTCATTTCTACCCGCATAAAATGTTTGGTTTCCAAAATTTGAAAACTCATCAAGTCAATTTTTGTGTGTCCCTATGATTTTGACGCGAAGAGGTTCGACTGTCTTCTCTATAGGAACAACCCCGAACCGTTTGACGAGAGATCATGAGTCAAAGAATAAATTATTTAATTTTTACTAATTTTCGAATAAACCTGTGGAGGTGTCTTGAGGAGTCGCCATGTTGGTAGGTGACTCAACATTGCACATGTGTTGCATCACGTGTTGAAACCGAAGCACGTCCACTCCAACTTTCCGCCCATTTCGCGTCCGCCGCGTTTTCAGTATCATGTGATGTTTCCTGCTGCATTGTGGGTGATTGGTTACCAGACAATTGCTGGGAATGTCATCATTGGAGTACACCTGAAAATCACACGCATTTATGTTTACCGCACCGCAAATTCAGGTCTTGAATGCATTATAACTCACCAAGCAACACCCGGGATCGATGGGTTTCAGTGAGTCGCACGGAAAATGCGGCGCTGCTGCATATTCGTCACGCATTCTGTATAGTTTCAAAGTCTCTGGCTTTGGTCTGATGGGATTCGGTTTGAGCTCCTTGTAGTATGCTGTACGTTGGCAACCTTGGCATACAACAGGAAAGACATTTTGCGTTAATACCTTGTGTATGAAGGGTTAATTAAAATGCGTATTCCCACATCCTGTGCAAAATATATATAATAGTGCGAGGTCCCCCTCCGCTCCGGAAAGTATAAAGTATTTTTTGAAAATACCCGTCTATAAGAAGCAGAACTGCGCATTTGAAGGCGTCATGACTGATTATTTTTATTGCGTTTCCTTCAAAGTAAATTTTGCGAATTTTCTGCGAACTTCGCTGATTTTTAAAAATTATCTTGAGGGGTTGGGAAAAATATTTATCGCAACACTGTTGGCAAAAATATAATGCGAGGTTCCCATCGGAAAGTCCGGTTTTTTTGTTGTTGAAAATATCCTCAACAGTTCTGCTCGCTTGAAAGCGTCATGATCGATTATTATAATTGTGTTTTCTTGAAAATAAAGTCTGCGAACTTCGCTGATTTTGAAAAATTATTACCTTGAAGGGCTAGGAAAAAAAATATCCTCAACAGTTCTGCTCGCTTGAAAGCGTCATGATCGATTATTATAATTGTGTTTTCTTGAAAATAAAGTCTGCGAACTTCGCTGATTTTGAAAAATTATTACCTTGAAGGGCTAGGAAAATATCGCACTCTGCTTTACAAAAAATAAAAAAAATGCAAAAAAAGTAATGCGAAATTCCGACCGGAAAGTCGAAGTATTTTTTGAAAATATCCTTCTCAACAGTTTTGCACGTTTAGAAGCGCCATGACTGAAAATTATTGAGTTTTCTTGAAAATCAATTCTGCGACTTTTGTGCGAAATTCGCAGAATAAAAAAAAATTTGTGATCTTGGATTCAAGCCTGACGAAATAACAAAATTACCGAAACAAGGTCTGCTCTGTTTTCGAAGGAACTTTTTCCGTGGCAAATTGTCGCATGCCCCGGCACCGGATCGATGCTGATCGCAGCAAGTATCCCCATTGATGTCCAATTGCGGGTTCATTAAATTTGCAATTCGCTCGTCGGCCATGAAGCTTTCGCGGTCAAAGTTTCGCCAATGACCCGCTTCCGGAGACATGCTTGAATCCGACGATTCCGTCACCAATGTGTAACTTTTCGATCCGGATTCGCTCTCAATCAGGAACAGGGTTTCCGGGGTCGGGGGTCCGATCGTGTGTGCCATGTTGGTCACGTCAAAATCCTGGTAGCAATCCAAATCACCACCTAATGTTGATAGGAAATGAATGAATGAACAAATAAATACATAAATAAAATCGTGCGTGATGCAGATAAATTCATATGTTTCCGAAGCATGCGAACAGGCTGCAAACGAATTCAGGACTGACTGGAGAAGGCTAATTTTGTTTCATCAAATCCAATAAGGTTTATTTGAAAAATCAGCCTTCCCACCTATACTCAAATTGTTCTAGAACCCTGATATCATTGCACATTTCGTTGTTAAATTTGTCACGAGTCGTGGTTACCTTTCAACAAATTTATCCATCACGCCCTTGGCCGTTACAATAAGGAGAATTTCGGCAGGAATAAGTTCTTGAAAATAAATTACTACTACGACAAAGAATAAAAGGACAAAAAACCCTATAAGTTAATTCGATTTTACTTGGAGCACTAAGGGTCGTAAAACTATGTGTAAAAAGTTTTTTATCACTAGGAAAGGTTGGACTTCAAGTCGAAGTTAGCAATAAAAGAAAGTGGGAAAGTACAATTGGTGATTCTTATGCCTTCAACTACGGAATAAATGAGCTGACGGGAAGCTGAAATTGGAGGCGAGGTTTGATTAGCACAATTATTCACACACTTCCCTTTGAATATCATCAAGTCAAATTTGTGTTTTGTTTTCTTTTCTTAGTTACCAGAATAATGCCCAAATGACATTTGGAAATTCGAGTTATGGAGATTTATTTTACTGTACGTTGTTCTTGAGTATTTTAATAATAATTCAAGAAAGTCACGAAGCTCATGGCGTAAAGCCTTTAGTTTTTGTTCAAAAAATAATCCAAGAAAAATAATTGTTTTGAGCTCATTTGTCTGCCGTTTCAATTTCTATTCCGATAGAAAGTTTGTTAGAGCCCTCGTAAATTCCGGCTGAAACAGTACCCTACGGAGCTTACCAGACCTTTAATGGAATGAAAAGTGGTGCTGCTACAGCTTTTCGCCTATCGACTCGGAGAGTCGGAGCCGGAGTTAGAACAGTGCATTAGGAACAGCGTGAAACTGGAAATTTATCCCGCCTCTGTGGTGATCCAGCAGCCACAAACTCAAAAAAGGCAGGGCCCAGTACTGCAGTACCCACAAGACACCCGCTGTTTTCCAGTACGACTTGAGAAAGTTTCCCAAACTGGGTCGGGTGCCCAATAATGTAGACGACGTGGATGAAGTCGAGGCCACCAAAACGGCAACCAGGATCACCCAAAGAACGCAATTCTCGCCCGACTTTTCTAGCTTCTTCATTCGCATAAAAAAGGTGAGGATGCTTTTTTATTTAAAATTAAAATTAGCTAAAGCACTACGTCTTAGATCGATTTTATGCATAGGCCTCTAAGATTTCTTTACGAGTCGCCTCGGGTGCGTTTTTGTTAATTGGAGAATCCATGACTTCTTCAGGAACATATAAAGAATCTAAACTCAAGGAAAATTCCAAAAATTTAATCGATGCGAGGATTTTTTGTGAATTAACTTTTAACTTCAGATGAATGCAACGAAGTAATTTTCCTCGGGATTTCCGAACTACCTAAAAGTCATGAAACATCAGCAGGATCCTCAATTCAAAAATATTGATAACGAAAACTAATTAAAAACTCTCTTCAAAAACTAAGAGCCTCATTTCCTGAACTTCTTGATTTTCTTCGTCATTTTTGGCTTTTACCAGCATTCAATTGAATTTTGTCAAAAATACGTCGGGTTGCTTACTTTGGACCGGTTAATTTTCATTGGAAAAATCGGGTGTTTAATACGCAAGAACAGCGGGTCACATTTGTATTTTAATTTCCTAAAATTGTAGAGCTTTCTTGGTCGCACAAAATAATGTTCCAATTAAAATAGGAGGAGGCGGAAAAACTTGCTTTTTATGATGCGGAGTCAAATTTCATGTGCAATCGATTGAGTTTAATGCTACAAAGAAACCGTATTGCGTAACAGCTTTCGAAGATTGGTTGCTTTAAGAAACACAATATTTCCATCTGTTGAATAACGCGAAAAATGCCATGGTTAAAGTAATCCAAGTAAGCGTATTTTTTCCACTCCTACGAAAAAATAAATTTTAATTTTAATCGATTTCGTGATGCAGAATCTAGCTAAAATACGTATCCGGAGATTCTAAAGAAATGCTCAGCGGAGCCCACGCAAAAATTTAATTGGAGAATCCGTGACTTCTTCGTGAACATGAAGATAAATTGACGAATTCTGTGAAACGAATCTAAACTCAAGGAAAATTCGCAAAATTTAATCGATGCGAGGATTTTTTTGTTAATTAACTTTCAACTCCAGATGAATGCGACGAAGTAATTTTCCTCGGGATTTCCGATCTACCGAAAAGTCATGAAACATCAGGATCCTCAATTCAAAAATATTGATAACGAAAACTAATTAAAAACTCTCTTCATACCCGAACTTCTTGATTTTCTTCGCAATTTTGTGGCTTTTACCAGCATTCAATTGAATTTTGTCAAAAATAATCGGGGTGCTTTGGACCGGGTAATTTTTATTGGAAAAATTGGGTAACGCAAGAACAGCGGGTCTTATTTGTATTTTAATTTCCTAAAATTGTAGAGCTTTCTTGGTCGCACAAAATAATGTTCCAATTAAAATAGGAGGAGGCGGAAAAACTTGCTTTTTATGATGCGGAGTCAACTTTCATGTGTAATCGATTGAGTTTAATGCTACAAAGAAACCGTATTGCGTAACAGCTTTCGAAGATTGGTTGCTTTAAGAAACACAATATTTCCATCTGTTGAATAACGCGAAAAATGCCATGGTTAAAGTAATCCAAAATCGATTGAGTTTAATGCTACAAAGAAACCGTATTGCGTAACAGCTTTCGAAGATTGGTTGCTTTAAGAAACACAATATTTCCATCTGTTGAATAACGCGAAAAATGCCATGGTTAAAGTAATCCATCGGAGAAAATTAAAATTAATCTGCAAAAATGGAACGACGAACTTCGAGAACAAATTTATAAACGGACGAATTACGTGAAAGGAATCTAAACTCGAGGAAAATTCGCACATTTTACTTGACTCGAGAAATTTTTTGTTGAAATAACCTCAAACTGCAGACGAATACTGTACAATGAAGTAATTTTCTTCGGAATTTCTGAACTGCCGAAAATTCATGTAACATCAGGGCCCTCAATTCAAAAATGATTGATATAAAAAATAATGTAAGATACTCTTCAAAAACAAAAGGCTTCATGTCCTGAACTTCGCGATTTTCTTTGCCGTCTTGTGAGTGTTGTCAGTATTGGATTGAATTTCGTCACAAATACGTCGGGGTGCTCACTTTGCACCGGGTAACTTTTATTGGACAAATTGGGTGTTCAATAAACAAATTCAGTATGTCTCGTTAGTATTTCAATTTACTTGAATAAATTGAAATTGCTTGAATAAAACGCTTGAATAAATAAATACTTGAATAAATAAATACTTGAGTAAATAATTACTTACATTAATTACTGTACTTAAATAATTACTTGAATAAATTTACTTGAATAAGCGCTTTTGGCTTTATAAAATCTTCCAATTAAAATAAGAGACAGCGGGGGAACTTGCTTTTTATGACGCGGAGTCACATTTCATGGGTAATCGATCGAGTTAAATTCTACGAACAAACTGTATTACGTAACAGTCTCGAAGACTGGCTACTTTGAGAAGCATCCTATTCCAGCCCGCTGAATAAAACGCTAAATGCCATGGTTAAAGGAATCGATCGGAGCAAATTAAAATTTATCTGCAAAAAAAGGGAACGAGGAATTTTTTGCGACGTTCGCTCACTAATGCAGTTGCTGACGCATTGCGACGGATGTCATTAAAAAAGTCACGTGTTGAAGCTCGGGCGTAAATTAAGCGACTTCAAAGCCTCTCTTTTTTTTATTCACTGAAGAAATATTCAAAGCGCAGAAATTATTACTTTTTTTTTTCAAGAAAGAGATGCGGAAAGAGGAAAAGGACCTACGAGGATTTAAATTGAGCGAAGAACACGGATTTCCGCGTAATTCCTGAGTGTTTGGGTTCGGGCGTTTTTATAAAGTTCTCGGACTACATTATCAACAGCATAAAAAAATTGTTTCAAAAAGCTTTCTTGAACTGATCTTGCCATTCAATCTTTCAAATGCATTTTTTTGAAAATGAATGAAAAAGTGTAGAGATCAGTGTTTCAGAACTTAAGAAAGATTGCGAATGCATTTCTTTGTCATGGCAAATTTCATCGGGATATGAAAATCATCTCGTGAATATTTTCCTTTTTATTCAGGATAAATTCAATCAGGAATTTTCCATGTTCAAAGCTCCTTTCTATGTAAAGTACTGCTTTGAAAATCGCGGACTGAACATTTGTCGACCTACTTTTCCGAAAAAGTTTTGAAGTTATATAAAATTCCCTTCTCATGACTTTTATTTGGAAAGATACCTCAAGGAAAATGTGATTTAGTCCGTGTTTTTTAAAGGACGAAAACAGTGAATAGAATTACCCAGTTTTGAAAATTTTTGCTGAATCTCATCAGCAGATGGAAAACATTTTCTTAAAGTGGCTTTCAAATTCCAAGAAATTTTTTTTAAGCCATGAAGCGCAAAATTAGATTCATTCTAATTGAATTTCGACAAAAAAAGTCGCGCTGAAATCATCTTGGTGAATAATTTTCTGCGATTTTGAATTAAGAAACGTAGTAAATGAGAGTACTGTAGTTTTAAACTTCGAAAATGCCTTGTTCAATAAACCCTAGTCGGATAATTTTTTCAAGTTGGGAAGCATCTCATTAATTAGGCGATTCTTTAGATCCCCTACAGAAGAGCAGGAAACTTTTTGACGAGCCTTCCGCCGGAAGGAAACGAAGATATCCGGAGAGCTTTTAAGTTGAAAATGTGTCGCCCGCTCTCCTAGGGCTGGTCGTGAGTCACACTAATACGTGGACACCTCTAGGAGCGCCCTTACCCCTAGTAGCCCAAGACTTAAAAAGTGGGTGCTGGAAGGCCAAAAAAGGCGATATAAAACTTTTCTTCCTTTTCCCCTCTTTAATGTTCTTCAACCCCCCCCCCTCGTTATGTCTTTCCCCTTCTGCGGATTCTAAACTCGGAATCGCAAAAACATCATTGCGTTTATGATACAGCATAATAATGTACCTGTACACTATATACTGGAGCAGTACGAAAGAAGAGCGAAGTCCGTCGGAAAATTCTGGACAACGGGATTCAGCAAACTTTTTAAATTAAATTTTTCGATTATGCCCGATAATGGGAATCATTCGGGGTAATTGGAAGTTTTCTCATTCAAATTATTATTTTTGCATTACTACAATGCCCAAGATATCCTCCATAAATCTTAAATTCGACGATAGCCACAAAACTAAAAATAAATGGAAATTTATAATTAAGCTTGAAAATTTTTCATTGTTTCTGAGCGTCTTTTCTCGCGTAAACCAGAAAAATTATTGCGGAGGAATCCAGAATAAAAAAAAAACAAGTTTTATGGGCTGAGGAATGTTTTGTTGTTTGTTTTTCGGCGTTTTTGCTGCTGTTTCGTGTCAATTGCATGCTGGAATTTTATTTAGCATTTACTGCAATTCATTTAAGAATATTTTAGAGGAATTTCGATTGGATTACATTTCGCATAGCTTCAACTTATTCAGCTCTTTGTACACAACTTCCAACAAGCATGGATTTATTGACTAAGGCATGGATGTATCAGTTGATTCAGTTTGGGAACAGATGTATTTTTAATTTTCCGATTTAAATAATGCTTTGTCTTTAAAAATTGAAGCCACAATTGAAGTCTGTGGCAGGGGAATTCTCATTCCTCAACTAGGATTATTA